TGGCTGGTGAGCCGGCAGAGAAAACACCACCATGCATAGCTGCCGAGAAAAGGCGCAATCTTTGGACAACACAAGAGTTGTCGACGATAGCTGAACTAGGACTGCGCCATAAATCAACGAATGGCAAAGTCTGCTGGACCGACGTGAGTGCCGAATGGCAGCGAAGGGCGATGCCGCCGAGGACAACTGCGGCACTTAAAGCTGCATATGCGAAACTTGCGCGGAGACTGAATAACGTCAGCGGCCTTGCCGTTAACGATGTGTGGGTACCAACTGCCACATCGAATGTCGATGATGCAACGTCCCCATTGACACACGGAATGAAGCATCCGCATCAGTCTAAACCAACAACCGGACATCAAAGCCAGCGGCCAGTAGCGCCGCCAGAAAGTACACCGGAAATGAGCAACACAGGGAGAACCGTGGCTGACGTGCAGCTCAGCAGTAGCGAGAGAAATGATGCCTCGACAAGCGATGACAGTGATGGGAAAGTGGAGAGCGCACCCAGTGGTGAAACTGCACAACTGCAGGCTCCGACCACTCCCAACCCACGTGCTGATACGTGGAGAGACGACCTGGAAAAGACCTTTACACGACTTTATCGCAAGGCGCAGCACACACGACAGAGGCGCCCAATCCAACGACCAAAGACGAGAATTGCGAAGAGACTGTTGCAAGCTGGGGATCAAATACTCAGAAAGCATTTCAGCCGAGGAGGCAGACGTAATCGAACATTTGCGGCCGTAAACGCTGCAGTATACGCTATGGGAGCAGCCATAGCGGCAGCAATGGTAAGACAGCAGAAGAAAGATAAGCTGAACAATAAAGAAACCCTCCTGAAGCAGCGGATAAGCGAGGCAAAAGATCTAAAAAGCACACTTATCCGGCTGATATCAACACTAGCAAATGAGCTACTCAGAAGGGAATCGATTCACGGGCACTCGGTCCCGGGTGCCAGCAAGAAACCTAGCCAGAAATATGTGGAACTGAGGCAAGCGTTTCGCCTCACAAATGAAACCTCTATAAGAACATTGCAACGCAAATTGAAGGATGAATACAGCATACTCTGCACTGATCTGCAGCACTTAGAAGAGCAACGCGAGCATCTTCGATGGAAGGTGAACGGACTCAATCTATTGAAGAAGGAAGAGCGGCAACAGGGAGACCTTCAAATACCAATTGAAGAGATCCGGGACTATTGGTATGAGATTGTTGGTCAAGAAAAACCGTTCAACAAACACAGCGAAGACCTCAACTCGTGGGCGTGGGCACTAAAACGTGAACTGGGTTGCCCTGCTATAAGAGACAGAGGTGACGATAATGAGGAAGCCGAACGGCAACCTCAATCTCAAGTGCGATGGAATCGCAAGCTACAGGATGCAGACTGGAAGCGCCTCTGGTCAAAATTGCGCACATGGAAAGCAACCGGGCCGGATGGTATCCAAGGTTATTGGTGGAAATCATTACCAATAGCAAAAGAGAGATTGCAAAAGTGGTGTGAAAGAGCAATCTTTGGGAGGAAGCAATGTGTGCCGAGATGGCTTTGTGAGGCACGAATAGTGTTGCTACCCAAAAAGCAACTAAATGAGTGCACCAACCCTGGTGATTACAGGCCAATAGCATGCCTAAATACTTGCTACAAAATACTGACCGGCATGATGAGCATCCTCATCATGAAAGAGG